TGTTTTCTTCCTTTTATTTTTTTTGAAGACAAAAATAAAACGCTTTTTTTCCCGTTAATTTTTTTTATGACATTATTTTCTTCATTTTATTTTTTTTGATGACATTATTTTCTTCCTTTCATTTTTTTTTTAAGACAAAAATAAAACGCTGGATAACGGCCCAGAGGTTCGAACTTAGGACGTCCAAGATGAAATCATAAGTGATAACCAACTGCACAACGTCACCGAGTGTTGATTTATTTTCTATAATAATGGTATATATTGAATTAACATCTCAGCGTTAAATCACCGTGTTCAAATCCCACATCGAAGAAGTAAAAACCTCCTCAACACCTCAATCGTTAGCATGTTCAAAAAAGGGGGGTAGCCTAACCAAACTTGAGGTACACGTGTAGTCCCTATTTTTAAACTAAGCTACAAAAATGCCCTCATCCAGTGACTCGTCGATCTGTGACTTCATACTTCGTTCTATGATGTCATTCATGCGATTTACTGTACAAAATCGCAATTTATGACATCATGCAAACAATTTACTGTCCAATACCGACGATTCTCTAGAACCGGGCGAGTCTACGCTTTTTAGAGGAATCGACATGGGGTCACCGATTCCCATGTGGAACCGGGGGAGTCCGTTTCGCCGAGTTTTATATCACTGGAGCTAACCAATTAAGCCCGGGCTCTTAAGCACTTTTCTTCAATTTAATGGCAATAATTTTAATCCTTTTATTCTCTAGCACATCCTTGTAATCAAAGACCTTCTCTATTGTGTTTAACTAGTCTATAAAGTCGTCGGGCTATGACTTTCCTTCGAAATCAGGAATGTGTACTTTTAGATCTAAGGATTTTGAGTGCCACCTATACCACCGATCATATTCCTCTTCACTCAACTTATCCCAAAAAACACGATGGTGAAAATGGTTGTACTCAACATTGTCTTTGATAGACAAAACTTCATCTTGCCAACGATCGGTCTGCAAGCCGCCTTGTAAGTTCTTGATTGTTGTCTCAGATACTCTATCTCCTGAGCTCGCTCATCACGAGGTGGAACCATATGAATTCTCCTGCCTTGACCTCTTATTGTTGCCATAGGTTTACTCTAATCACAAACTCTCAGCAGAGAACCAACAAAACCTAGCTGAAACCAATAAGTTCTAGGCTGATTTGGCAAATCTTAGCCTTAAATCAACAAAACCTAGACTTGGCTTGTTCTCGAAGAAAACCTAGGCTTTAATGCAGAAAAATCGAGAAAATAGACAAAACAGTTCAATAGACCACCAAAACAGGCCAAATTGGAGTGGATCTAGCTTCCCTTGCAAAAAAAAGTGACCCCAAAACCCTAGTTAGGGCTTGATGTTATTAGTCACAGCTTGTTTTTACTGTTCACGCCTCGAGTATTAAAAACCTTAACGCTTCCAGCCCTTTCATTACATTATGATAGAAAATGACCAACACTACTCCCAGTTAAATTAAAACATTATTAAAATCTCCGATAAGTCACTTAAATTAAAATATAAAAGATCCCTAAATTGCCCCTAACGTTAATTAAAACACTATAATTCACTAAGAAACTATAAAATCAGCAACAAACTAAAAATAAATTCCTTCAAAAAGTCGAACTTCTCCTCCTAGACCTCCTTGCGAGCTTGGGATGTGGATCACCATAAAGAGGGTCTTCAAAGGATGGATTAATTGGATCAAAAGGCCCACAAGAATTGTCTTGACTACTAGAAGGATGGCCTGGTGCATCAATATGAAGTTCAATGGCCAATATCATGAAAGACAATAAACATATGCAATTGTTGCACCACGTGATCCAGACTGCTTCCAGATGGCATTACTTTCCAACCACTTCCAGAGAGCATAACTTTTCACCTGAATGGATTTGTGCACCCTGGAATCTGCATCATTATATAATACCTTGAAGCCAAATATCCAAAGCTAACTTACCCAACCCAAGAGACTCTCACTATATTCCAACTTCTTCATGAACAATAGGAATGTTTCCTGGATCACTCAATTAACAGATGGTGGCTGCTTTCATTATGAATTATCAAATTCACGATGCATTTCCCCAAATTTCTATACCAATCATGAGTGTATCAAGAAAAGAGAAACAACAAATGAAAAGAATTGTCCACCACCTTTATAAAATGAACGGATGATGATGACGTTCTTCCCAAGGAAAAAGGAGAAAGGAAGCACAAAGAAAATGATACAATTATCCAACAGCAAAGGTTTATAATGGCACTTTAGTATGACTACATAAATGAATTGTGTTTTCTCAAACATAAACAACAAATTGTTTGGACTGAGATTATTAATATTCTTTCAAAACCAAAGCAATGACAAAAGCAAAATCCCTATGAGCATGAGGGTGTGGGTCATCAACTAGAAAAATGAGGTTTGAATGGATTAGTAATGGCCCCATACTCCAAGTCTCTTCCTCATAGACAAAATCTCAATATCTGCCAATGTATGCCTAATCTATGCAAGTTCAACTTAAACTCAATACATGCACCTACATTGGTTATCTCTGCGAAAAATCAATACCACAGTTACCAAGGGCCGGAGTGAAAAATCTCTGGGATCGGAAGAAGAAACGTGGAGCGAGGAAGCCGCTAAGTTATGTGGTCAAGAGAATGAGTTCTGTACATGGGAAAATGTAGAGATGAAAATCCTAAGTTTTAGGGATTGAGTTCCACATCTGCTGAGGAGCGGATCACTTAACAGATGAGATCACATTCCTATGTGTTAGGATCAAGGCTCTTAATGTTGAATTGTCCACTATATTTGTAATCTCGGAGTGAGTTCCATTTAACAGTATTTTTAACTTTTTCCAAATTCATAAAGTAGATTGGAATTTGGTATTCTATCCTAGAATTTTTGCCACAAAAAAAAAAAAGGTTCATGACATTGAATTCGATTTGGTCTTAAAAACTTGTAATTTAAGAATGTTGTGATAAATAGTTGCCGAAAAATAAATAGCCACGTTATTTTTTTGTAAAACAAGAAAAAAGGTAAGGCATTGCTAAATAAAATTCCCTATAGCTCTCCTCCATCAAAGATTGCTCCGGGCTCAATGACCTATATACGAGAGAGTCCTAACATTTCCAAGCATATATGTTATTCTATCACGCACAAGGCAACCCCATGTGTGAAGCGCATTAGTTAACCAACAATCCAGCGTTAGAAGCTCTTAGGGAGATGTACAAGACCCAATGAACTAGAAGTATAGCTTATTTTACGTGGCATAATTCCTCAAAATAATCGCAACGCAACTATCCCTTGTATCTCATCCAATTTCTTCCTTCTCCCTTTGCCCTCTCTTATTGCCTTTCTTTGAAACTAGGCCCAAGTTACAATTCACAAGGTGCATAAAGTTGTGAACTATAAACTATAATCATGGCATTTAGAAAGTTTGTACGTAATAAAAAAAATGGACATCCACACTTCATTGTATATGAACAAAAAATTTGTGTCATTCAAACTCGCACCCAAAACTCGTACCCAAAACATAGGAAACTCGATCCCAAGTTGGTGGAATCACGGTTCTGCTTGCTCATGAAACGATGATTTTTAGTATAGGAATCTGGGCCCTATTAACATACGAACGAGATCTCTGATTTTCCAGATCGAGATCCTTAATATCAAGGAATCGCCTGGAATTAAGATCCCGTGTTCGGAACGCCAGGACGAAATCAAGGAGTGGATTTGACCCCTCCTTAGAAGATCAAAATAAATATGATTAATACTATCAATTTCTAACTTTTTTCTATGTTTATTAGAAATTTCCTCCATTTCAGCAAAAATAATTAGAGATAAACCAAAGGTTCTAAAATTTATTTTGCATGTGTCCAAGGGAAAAAGGATATTTCAGTTAGGATGTCTGAGCCGAATGAAGGCTCTACATAAACAGTCAAGGAGATTTTGTGGGCCCCTTGGCTGAAGTAGAAATGTTTGAAACTTGTCACAAGCTCAGGGCAATTTTTAACACTTTCCTTTTTCCCAGTCAATTTGGTCAGGAAAAATGCCCCACGGTGGTTTTCGATGCCCAATTCATTGAGTGGTTTTTCTTCTTCTTTTTTTTCTTGTTTTTTTTGTGTGTGTGGGCAGGGGGGAGGGGGGAGGGGGTTCGTCTGTTTTAAATTCATCTCATGTTGTGACTTTCATCATGAAAACCTAAAATAGAATACCTTTAAACCAAGTTTGGATGGACCACTAATCATGAGTAAATGTACTCTTTCTAATAAAACTAGCCGTTGAACACTTCAATGAGATGTTTGTTCCGCACCATAACCCTTCTCATGAGTAAAACCTGTTTCTGAACCCCATTTATTTGAAAGACACTGCAAATACCACAATTTGCTACAGAAGTTACTAAAGAGAAAAAAATGCCCTTTATTTGCTGCAGCTGTCCATAATTAAAGCACCACTGTAAGCACTATTTTACTTAAGCCTTATTACTAATATGGTTCTTTTTATTACTGATATGGTTCTTTTAATTATGAGACTGTCAGGCAAGCATATATGATTTCCATTTAGCTATAGTAATATTTGAATTCTTGAATCAATTATTACAAGTTCAAATCAGCTGATATAAGCACAGAAGTTTTGACAATTATGTCTTGGGTCTTCATGTATGCAACCTGATCTAATCATACCCACATATATAAAAAGCATTTCTTCATTGTATGAATCTATGCAAATTCTAGTTCATTCAAAGTTTAAAGATCCAATTAAAAGTACAGGTACATTACATTTATTGAATGTACTCAATTGCACAACAATCCTCTCACTTAACCTCATACTCACAAACATAGGCCTATCACATTTCATATAAACACAATAAATATTTACTCTACATTCTCAACAAGTACTACAGATATTCAAAATGCAATAATATATCATAGGAATAAGTATTTACAGCAAGAAGTCCAAATTGAGGCATTCCAATCCCATCATGCCAAATGAAAAAATAACATAGAAAGCAAAGATTTTACCTTCACGACTGTTCCTAAGATAACATCAATATAGTTTAAAGGAATAGTAGAACGGAGATTTATGCCATCTCTCTGAATCCCATCAACCTCCTTGACATCAAGGTATACATAAAGATCCCCAGGAGGGCCCCTGGTTATAAGAAAACAACGAGTGCATGGAAGTGTGCATGGTCGCCATCCCATCCAAAAAAATACTTAATAAATGGTCTGATTTGTTATAGTAAAGCATGAAGAAATATTAACTGAAATAAAACTAGGAAAAGCAATTCCCTGCAATTGTAACAGGAAAGATAAATGCATAGCATCAAGGATGTTCAAAATGAAATAATTAAAAACAAGCCAATGGGAGTAGCATCATCAAACACTGAATAATAATAAGAACATTATAGATACCATATGAGCTAACAATGGCAGGCATTTGGTGTACAAACAGTTGAATCACTAAATCTATCATTGGTGTGATCAGCAATTGCAGTTGTTCTATTACTATAGACGACTGGTTTGGGCAATTTTAACAATCAAAAAATAATTTGGGTCATTTTGATATGTATCATGTTCAAGTCCAATACGTGTTACTATATATTTTTAGTCTATTAGGAAGGTAATACGTATTGGTGGAGAAACCAAGCCTTATCTCTAAAAGATTATTTATCATTCTTGCTCATGCTGATCCTACCAAGTTTGGATGTATGATATGCTCCTATGCGTATAAGCACAAGACATTGTATATAAGTTTCACCTTTACACGGTTCATGATTTTAGATAAACTTTTCACGAATGACTGATGATTCTTGCTCATGTTAACCCTGCCAAGTTTGGATGTACGATATGCTCCTATGTGTATAATATAACAAAGCATTGTATATAGGTTTCACCTTTACATGGTTCATGATTTTAGATAAACTTTTCAAGAATGACTGATCCAAGTTGAATACTCTAAACGAATTACTATGTACACAAATGTAAACAACTCATAAATACTACATGTATTTTCATAGTAAATGAATTTCTTTTGTAGAGGTAAGAAGCTTATAAATCCTACATGTCTTTTCAAGTTATTAAACTACTTGGTGGAGGGACGATATTCATAAATGCTACAAGTCTTTCCACGTACATGAATAACTGTAGAGGAGGGACATTTCACAGCTTCGTAACAGGAAGAATATCACATGTCGTCATTTATTAAGGAAGACAAAACTCCTACAAAAAGTCTTTCCCTCTGTACACAAGGAATTTCCAGCCTTTCTGCTCATTCTTTTTTGTATAAGCTTACAGAATTCTGCTCTCTGTGCAGATCCATATAGACCGTCGTATCTTTTAATCAAGAAAAATCTCAATTATCAAGAAAAAGCAAATAAGTTTTGTGAAACTGGAAGTTCATATGTACCAGAGACAATTCGTCCTCATTTCTTGAAGCCATGGAAGAAACAACATCACAAATCCTCTAGAAAATCAATTGCTTCAAGATGAATTCTAACACTAAAAATTTAATATTGCTCTAGGGAAATATTTTACCTCTTCAGAAATATTTAGATAGATATTGCCTTTATCTTTTTTCTTTATTTTTCTTGAATTTCAACATGGAACCTCTGTAGGAATGGAACTCTAGAATCATGTCGATTAATAAAATTTAAATTACGGAAAAGAAGCACACGAACATTAAAATTAAAAAATGTCAATACCCTTTTGGTCCAGCATCACCCTCGCCTCTCACACGAAGCGTACTTCCTTTATTCACTCCAGGAGGGACTTTAACTTTAATATATTTCTTATTTCTGATACGCCCCTCACCAGCACATTTCCGACAATACTCGGATATGATTTCACCCTCTCCTCCACAATTAGGACAAACAGAAACCTAAAAGTAAACATTGTTCAGTAATAAAATTAGCACACTGAAGTGTAGAATGACACTCGCAGGTGCAAGTGAAACGTGCATAAATCCAAAGCTGCAATCTTGCCAATCAAATAGAGAAGGAAAAACAACCGCAATATAAAGGTACAAAGAAAGAACAAAAAAGGATCACTAGTATTCTAACTTTTCCTAGTATATATCAAAATCACAGTATATAAATTCCTTTTACCAAAGCAGAATCCCTTTTTTCTCATGAATAACTGTATAGTATTGTATAAATGAAGATGATTATTACAAAAATAAATAGTCAATGTTGCTTTAATGGTGATGCAATGGGATCATAGTACTTGTAAAATCATTTGATAGTAAAATATGGATGAATAAGTGCTCTTCAAGGATTTCAACCAGCACGAATCAAGGCTTCCCAGATTTCACTGATGACATTTTTTACCTCATTATTTCTGTGACAGTGCTTATGTTGGTAAATCCCCCTCGTAACACCAAATCTGTCTGTGATTTTGTCATTTTTTTCACGTCAGGCTAGTTTACATGTACCATTTAGATGGTAGAAATTTCATGTACTAAATCGCATTCAGTGCTTAAAATCACAGATTCTGTCTCGGACTTGCCAGGTTCCCGAGCCTGAGTCACCCAGTCCGATTCAAGCAAGTCCCAATTTGGGCCAGTGAAATTTTAGCAACAAATGGGGTTTAGGGTGAGACTTGAGTCAACTACCGAGGTTTGGCCTCTACACTCGCCAGGGTTATTATCCAAACTGACTCGGGTGAGTACTGAGTCAGCTTGGCAATCTTTTTAACACTGATCCCATTCAAAGATTCATATTTTTGACAGTTAATAATGTTATTTGTACTTTTTTATATTACCTATGCAGTGTTATGTTCCAATGGGAAAAGAACTAATTGTCTCCATGTTTCTTCTTGCAAGGTTTTCTAAAACTAAGTTTGTTTAAATGCTTTTATATTTAGCATACCTTCACACTGCTGATAACATTGAAAGGTATCCACAATACATCAATTTATGCAGGTACAATGTTCATGTGTCAATGGAACAGTCATTGTAATATGTGAGGAAGAGTGACCACAATAATACGTAAAATTGTGTAATATGTTGATGCAATAAAATAATGTGTTGTATTCAAAGGTACACATGGGAATATGTTAATATCATGTGATATATTCACATCATAAAGTGTTTGACGGTGTATCCATAGGTAATGTACATTATCCCAATTTCAATTAATTATAATATGATATTCAGTAGAAAATATTACAATATTAACAAAAATAGTACTTTTTTGAATGTCACTAAACAAACCAAATGCATCAAGTTGCTCCTAAGTTGGCAAATGTAGACATTCTTGGTCAAAGATAGAGAAGAGAAAAAAGTTCAGAAGAGAGGGGGGGGGGGAGAAGGGTGGAAATCAAAAGGATTCAGGGGGAAGGGCATCTGCCCCATATACAATGCCTCTCGCAATACCAGCCCGTGCTAGTGAATCAGTATAATCAGTCACACTCTTGGGATGTGTTCGAAAGTCACCCATCTGTCATGGCAAATATTGTGAATTTCCTCCAATTTATTCAACCAATCCTCCACGAGTGAGGACCTTCAATATGGACCCGTCAAATAACATTCAACAAAAATAGAATTTGGGATGTAGAACAAGCTTTGTGGCTCCTACGAAGAGCTACATGATGGGCTTGAATAGCTCTAGGTTGATGGATTTGAATAGCTCTAGGTTTGTAAGTTAAGTTCAAGTTAGTGTGAACGGGATTGATATATAGAGAAAAAGAGGAGGAAGTAATAGGATTCTAAGTGCAGAGAGGAGAAGCTAGAGAGATATTGGGTAGTTGATGCTGGAGTTTGGATGGGAATTGGGGCACAAGGAAAACTTTATGGAAAGAAAAGCGCACTGCATTTTTTAAGTCCAGAGGGAAGAAGATGACTAGGAAGATTTAGGAAGAGACTTTTTGATGAATAATGAAAAAGGCTCAGTGGTTATGATATTAAGCATTTGGGTGGGATCTCTATGAACTTAAAGAGATAATGAAACAAATAGTCTCAAATTTTTGGACGAGGAACTAGATTCTAGATGGTTGGGGAAGGACAATGTTTCAAAGGAAACTGATAATGTGCAAATAAGGTAGATTAGGTTCTGGTTTCATGGGTGGTAGAGTTGTAGACGCAGGACACATGGAAGATGATGGACTAGCTGGGTTGGGTTTGTAAGAGACTGGTGTGAAGGTTAAAGAGAAATTAGTCAGTTGGACTGGCAGAAATTACAATCCAGCAGAAGAGACAGATTGAATATGAGAATGCTGGTTTACAGTTTGGTTTTGAGGGCAGGTAACTTACAAGAAGAAATAAAAAGTGGCATGGGATCAAGAAAGAGAAAATGCTAGAATATGGAGAAGAGGTTGATGTACCAGGAATTAGGGGATTTTGATCTTGAAAAGAATCAACAACAAGATAAGAAGTCAAGGCTTCAACATCCCAAAAGAGAGGAACCAACAAGTCATAATCAATAAAATATTCAATTTTATTTAATCAATAAAATATTCAATTTTATTTCATTCTTTGTAATAAATATAGCATAGGGCCGCTACATTAATTTATATAACATTTTTCCCTTTTTGAGGAAAGTTTGACTGTTATGTATTATTATTTATAAGAAAACCAAAATTAGACTACCCATATATCAGGAGCTATCTGTAGAAGATGGTTACGCACATGTCAGGAGCTCGTTCCCAAATTGGGAAAAACAAGGTGCTAATTATAAGTTATACACATTAAGGTCGGCAAAAGCTTTAGAGAGAGAAGGAAGAAGTCAAGAAGGAGAGAGAAAGGAGCAGAGAATAGACACACACTAGTAGGAGAAGCAAACAAGTAAAAGAAAGGGAAGAAGTCTAATCGTTAATCTGCTGCGTGATAGTCCCCGCCAGAGCCCCCTTCTTAGCTAAGCGGCTGGCAGCCTGGCTGGCTTCCGTACGAACACATGGCAGAAAGTGATCCTCATCTCCCGGCATGGATAGTATATATGGTAAGCTAGGTGCCATGGAAACTGTGCTATCTTGGAGGCCCATGCAATGACATTGCTGTTGTCGCGTTCCACCAAGATCTGCATTGAGTGGAAGGCAGTAGAGGAGATGCATTTGAGACCATTGAGAAGAGATCTAGACTCTGCCAAGGTAGGGCCTAATGGGTATTCTATGGGGACCATCGAGAAGGGCATTCATACCCTCCATTATTTTCATGGGCCTTTGAGACGATTGAGAAGGGATTTAGACTCTGCCAAGACAGGGCCCAATGAGTATTCTATGGCGACCATCAAGACGGGCATTCATACCCTCCATTATTTTCATGGGGCTCATTCCGCTGATTTTGGGTGTCATGCTCCATAAACTCTTCTGGTACGAGTGGCCATTGGCAAAGTTCTACAATCCTATGTTCATAATGTGAAAGTAGATCTTCAACCTAACACATTGGCATCAGCAAAATTTTTATCTTCACAACCCACAGGACTGACATAACTTAAAGAGTACTTGGCCACAATGAATGTGTGACTTCCCTTGCCCCTGATGGTCCTAGATTGCCAGAACTGCCATCAAAATTTAACTTCAGCTTCAGATGTGGCGAGGCCTCCCACATCACATGAATTTAGCTTTCTAGAGTCTTACAAATAGCCACTTCGACTTCCTCACAATGTCTAGGGCTCCCATCTGAAGAGATATATTCTGCTCTATGCCGAACGCTTTGTCGTCTCCCTTGTTCTTTCCCCCATTGTTGTTGTCCTGGAATATTTTCCTCATATATTCTTGTGTCTTTCATTCCATAAACCCCATAACATAGTAGGACAGGTCAAAGACCATAACATGTGAAAGTGCCAGTCCTCCATCTGCACTTCAAAACAGTACAAGGGAACACTCAAATCTTTGTCCTTTTTCTTTTTTTTTTATCTTTTTTTTTGGGGTATGGGGTGGTGCGAGAAGAAGGAAGGGGGTGGTAAGGTTTGGTTTCAAATGGAGTGTGGGCAAACTTTGCAATGAATAAAAGATGGTTTCATTATTTGGCCTGTCTATTCATCATACATATATTTGGGGAGCTGCAAGCCATGGTGCTGAAAGTGGTGCCCTGTAAATGACTTCATAATCACCACCAGCCACCCAAAATGCAACACCCTTTTGGGGCAGGAATGTCCCAGATCAGTCCTGAGGGAAAGAAGGTCGCACCAACAGAGTTGAGGGATTTAGCAAAAGACTTTACAGAGAGAATACCTTTCGGGTCAAGCGTCTAAAACAATCTGTCCATCCTTTTTCTTGTGATAAATATTGCATTCAAGCAGGCTAGAAGTGAGCATAGATCATTCAAGCAGGCTAGTAGTAAGCATAGATCATGCATCTCACAGTCATTCAGGTTCCTTCGAAAAGCCGGACACCAAACTACACCCTCACTTGACCTTTCAAAATAGTCCCATACTGTTGCTTTGGGATTAAGGGCTAGGAATGCAAGTCATGGGAATCTGCTTCGGGATTAAGGGCTAGGAATGCAAGTCATGGGAATCTGTCCCATAATCGACTGTCTCCACAGCAGACATCATTCGAGAACAACTTACAGTGGCCATTCTACAACCCGAATCGTGTTGGCGACCTCCACACAGATGACACCCTTGACAATCAACAAAGCGGTTTCAGTTTCCACCCAAACCCCTCCTTCCCATATTTCTCCCTAACCACTCTTCCACGATAAATCTCCCTCTGAGGCAAACCTCCAATGTCATTTTGCCAATAGGGCCCCATGGGTCAAGCCCATCCTCATTGCAGGGCCTCCACTTTATTTCGTTTTACAGACTTCCTGCCATATACTAGATGAAATTTACAAGAATCACTACTTCCTTGACAAAAGAGTTTTATATATATAGCATTAATAAAAACATAAATTTTTTACATTGAAAATATGATATAAAAATTGAGTTTTATTTGTATAACATTAATAAAAGGAAAAATTTTATACAAGTGCGAGGCTCTATACAATTGATGCACCTCAAAAATTTCACTAGAAGAGGTTGTTTCAATGCCCAAAAATCCTCAAATTGATCATCTTGAACTCAAGATCCATGGACATGAGAAAAAATGAATTTCAAGTTTTGGAAATAGTGCATCTGGTAATGCATATTAGAGATGAAAATAAATTTTCAGGCCATCACAAAGATTTCCAGTATTGAAACTACATCTTTCGACACTATTTGAAGGTGTCATGTACACTATTTGAAGGTGTCATGTACTTTGAATGTTTAGAGCCTCGGTCACATACAAACCACACCCTTAATAAAAACATCAATTTTTTACATTGAAAATATAATATAAAAAATCTATAATGCGTCATCAATATAATTAAATGCTGAAATATAACTAAATATTGAATTTCAAAATTATTAAGATTCGAAAGATGATATTTTCATTTTTCGCCATTTACTTTGACTTCTAGGTTATGTCAATATGACTTCATTCCCTGAAAGGAAGGATTTTTCAAATAATAATACTAATTTTATATGTAAGTTTTGGATTGACAATAGTCTACAACTTCACCACATTTCTAAATAAAAAACATGACATACGTACCTGGGAAAACAGACCGAAAGGTGTTTCTTCGGTACGCATCACTTGACCCCTCCCACCACAAGTTGAGCATATTCTCATCTTGGAACCAATCTTTGATCCAGTGCCAGAGCATATATCACATGTTTCCAAATGGAAGAGCTCAAACTCTTTTTCGGCACCAAAAATAGCCTCAGAAAATTCCAAGATCATGTCATAGCTGTAATAGAGAAATTTTTCTAGGTCAAAATAAACTCTACTTTCCAATAACTTAAAGCATGTTGCACTTTAAAATAAATTAAAATGTAGTAGTGCATAATCCCCGGAGTCAAACATAAAACAAAATCTGAAGTTTTAAAACAGTTGCAAGGCAAGTGACATGTAATCTAATCATAGGTAGCATACCCCACCTGCAACAGACAAGGATCAAAAGCAGTCCAGAATGAATTTACTATGACATGTTCATCCCACTACCAAAATGGAAGAGATCATAAAGTGGCTACAAAGTTTGAGGCATAGTTGTTGGTAGTAGATGCAGTAACAATGGTCACAGGATATTGAGAAATTTTGGTTTATGAACAAATAAAACATGTTATGAACATAACAGACAAGGTCACAAGGAGAGCCACACACATGAAGACAATCGCAAATGAAAAAGGAAAAAGAGAACCACTGAGATCAACAGTCCTTCACTCCTAACTTTCTCATCCTTCTACAACCTTAAGAACTTTAGTATGCCATTCATTTTTAATCCTTTATTCCCCAATTCAGCCATGTAAGTACGTACTATCATGGCAATAAGGCCATCAATCTCGATCTTTTAAAGTTTTACAAACCTTTTCAATCTCCACTACACAAAACACAGGCAGATAGAGCTCCAGACACCCTTTCGAAGAAAGGTTGAAAATGACTCCTAGTTCTCTTATGACACTTAATTTCCAGTTACCACAAATGTAATTTGTTTTCCCTCACCATTGCTGGAGGTAGCTCCAGCAATCCATTCTTAAAAAAGAAATACGAGAGAGTCCGGAATTGCTTCCAACTCCACCATAAGACTACGCCAGCCAGTCTCTGAAATATAATTTTCAACCTCCTATCAGTTCATTTTCAGTTTCTTCATGCAACCACTTTTAGGGCCCATAACATCAGTAGCAAATCCAGAATCTTTCCCTCGAAAAAGAATGAGAAGCCCAAGATGCATCATCATCATCAAAGAGTGAGAAGCTAAAGATTATGATAAACAATCTTGTCCTGTAGAATGTGGGGAGATATTATCTTCCAGTATGGTTACAAAACAGCCCATACTGAAGAAGTCCAGAAACCGAGTAATAAAATCTACAAGATAATAAAATATGAACTGATTACTCTCCTTGAATTGATAGTGAGGCCTGAATGAAATATCAGAATAGAATTCAGCCAGGGCAAACAATCTTTTGCCAGTGGTTTAGTAGAATACCAGCCCTACCCACTAGATGATCTTTGGCTTGTACAAAGTGAGTTCGGACGGTATCTGGCAAAACTTTCTCATAAAGAAACTAGCATTCAACTCCGATATCTTCTGTTCTACCATTAAATCCCTAGTTACAAGTAAATAGCAATAAAGTTATGAAAGAATAATGTGATGATCACATTCCTACACATGATTAAAAGCGTATTAATTAGAAGAAAGTACAAAACAAAGAGATATCCAGCCTTAAGGACACACTGGACAAACAAAACTTATAACAAAGGTAGGAAATCCCGAAAACTGATTAGTGCAATGTACTTATTTCTGTCATACACAGTTGTGAAGGATAAGTACCACTGAATCAAAATCGTACTTGGGCACGACTGTCCAGATCCTGAGCCAGAGTAAGAGGTGCGACTTGGCCAAGTCAGTAGGCCAAGGTGGTCTAGCTTCTGTTAGAAAATACACAGAAGGGCCATGACCCAGTGAGACTCGCCTGAGTCTCACAGTTTTTTATCTGTACCCAGCTCCCTGTTGGGCCAGAGTGGCTCAGGGTGACTCGAAGCCCAAGTCAATAAGTTATTTAATCACTGATAAGGACCACAGCATTAACATTGTCCTGGGGAAGAGGGCATAAGAACAAATCACTAATATCTAAAGTCTGAACCCCAGCCCATCCAAGAAATAGAGAAAAACAACAAACAAATGGGAACCATTGTGAGACCCATGTGATACACAAGCATATAGAAAATACAGTTGACAAAGGTTTAGCCAACCTTTCTTGATTTGTGAATAAATGAAACAAAGGCCATAAAGGTTTCTTGTTTAGATATTAAGCCATAAGTTCTTTTCTACATTTCTTTTTTTGTTTTTTGAATGTTTCTTTTCTACTTTCTTGTTTAGATAATCATGGCATCATTAACAAAGAAAAAGTTGAAAAAAAAAAAGAGGTCCTTTCGACTCTCTCAATACAATAAACAATGAAAGTCAATGAAACGGAGTAGCTTTTGAAGTTCAAACAACTACAGAGAATTTTAATTGCAGGTCCGTCCATACAATCGGGTTGTCAGAAGATGCATTTTGCAGAGTTTCCTATTTTGTACAAAGAATATTGCCATAGGTTGCCTCCCATTCTTTTTGTTACCAAGTACGTTGACAATTAAAAACAAAGTCCTTATAAGAGTAAAATAACTTGTCAACCCATCAACAAATACAAATAGCTCATCAATCAAAAGGAAAAAAGTAAACAACAGTCAATCAAAAAAGAGATTTAATAACTTTAAATCTAGAACTCACCGTAAATCATCACCCCGAACAACACCGCTGCGTCGCCGTGTTCTGAATGCACTTTGATCCATACCAGAAAATCCACCCATGCTTGCACCAAAGAAAGTCTCAAATAGGTCAAAAGGATTAGTCTGCAAACAAAAATTACAAGGAATTCACCAAGATGTAGTATGATACACATTCTATGCTGCAAGAGCTATCTACAATCTGCATGAAAACTACCACCAAGTCTACAGTAAATTTTAGGAATCAATAGACAACTAGAATATTCAATGGGAATTCAGTCCATAACAATGCAAGAACTTCAATCTCTCAGCCCACAAATCTTTATTCCCAAAATTCATGCTGCAACCTTATAGTCCGTAGGGCAAAAGACATCGTTAACCTTATCGACATCCAACATAGATAAACACATGTTATAGGCATACTACGATGTTCTGATAATACCGTATAAGCTCCAGCTCCTCCCCCTACTGCACTCTTAACTCCAGCTTCACCATACTGATCATACATTGCCCTCTTCTTGTCATCAGATAACACCTGCCAATGGAAACTATTAGAACTTTTGAACACATTATTAGTAGATATCATTCAGGAATATGATCAGAAGAAGATCCAAATTAAAATTTGTCGGCTCCTTTACTTTCAAAGAAAAAATTCATTGCGCTTTCTTTTTTCCTAAATTCAAGTTTATTTTGATATTATCCTACAATTTAGAAATTTATAGTGTCCTAACTTGCTACCAACCAATATAACAAAACACAATCAGATCCTAATGCTTGCTAATGCAAACAATATGAATTAACAGAGCTACATAATATCACTGTAAAAGCTGATTTCCAACAAGAAGTCAGGCAGCAAAATGCATACATTGAGACACAGTTGCATTCTCAACGACTCCTTGAACTACTATTTTTATCATGAAAAATAACAAACGAACACCACAAATAAAGCATTAACTTCAAGAAACATCCACTCTTGAGTTTTATTATATGCAAGTCACATGAACGGCTCAGGTCCATCTTACCCTGTTCAACATAGTGTTGCAAAACAGCATGGAAAGCAGAAGAATACACCTGGTTTACAAAGGATCCCCGATATAAACAGGTTTAGCATTTTTAATGTTTTAGATTGAGATACGTCTTCTGAAATATCTCATCCACTAGACATCAAAAATGATGGCTTCTATACAAGTTTCAGTAAAAGCTCCAGAGAGAAAATGATAGCACAATTGCATTTCCTGGTGATCAATGCTCCAGAACCAACTTCTATCTTTTCCTTGGATGATCACTGATGCCCTACACCATGACAAGCAGATTCCTCTACTCCAAATGCTCCTAAGACAATAGTCAGGATCGAGATAGCATGATTCATTGTGCCACAAAATGGACTTATTCGAGGAAGTTGGAAGCATAATGAACCTGATTTTTCAAATCAGAGGAGAGTAATACACTTTTATACACCCTTTCCAATTTCCACCACTAAGCAAAAAAGAAACTCATTAAAAAGGTCGTGATTGAGGCATACAGTTTCACTAGATGATATACAACCCATGACCAGTAACTTGTGGAATTGTTCACAGTTCCGTGACTTGGACCTCTCTAACCTTCAAGTAACTTAAAGATGGTCAGAAAAAGGAGCGGACAATGAAAACTTTACAGGCCAAGTTCCCATCATATGCAAAAGGACCTAGCAAACCCTGTTGCTACTGGCAATTGCAATGCCTCAAGGTGAACGCAAATCCTAGAAACCATACTCGTACAAAAGCAATGACGATCCTTGAAACCCACACCCCAAAAATATTTAAAATCGTTAGTTTCTAAAAATTACATTCCAAAAATAAAATATACTTTTGATCCTCAATTGCACAATAAGGGAAGGATGAACTTGTTATTCTCAACAGTATGTATGTATTAATACTCTTCTACATTGCGAAACAGTACATGAACATAGACTACAGAAGACTTAGTAGTCAAAACATCCAACATAACATGGCACAAAATCAATTTACACTTCTAAGGCACATATATATCCCATAGGATTATAAACATATTTTACGTATTGAGCAAATGATAATGAATTTGCATTGGTCCAAGAGAAACAACAAAAGTGACATCCATTCTGTAGGGTTTTATAGCCATTTAAAGGCCATTAAGCAGTTATTATTTTAGAATTCATGTTCTTACGACATTCATGGTTTTAGTGGGAGTATTGGGCTCTATGTGTTTTAGAGACGTTTATGACATTTCATAATAAGCAGGCTCTTGCTCAGACAGCAATTCTATAAGATTTCAAGCGGGCTAGCAAAGTGTGTTAGTGCGCTTTGGGAATCTAGCCTTGGTTTTACAGTCTAGGTTCAGGCTCATAGAGTCAGATCCGCATATAGGACAGGCATGAGTTCTAATCCCAAGATGCAACTGTTGGAGTGGGTTCGCAATACCCCCTCGAGGTCAATTGTGGCCAGTGGTGGTTAAAGTTTATCAGCTAGTGGATGTACAAGCCACTATGTGAAGAATGGGGCTTCCAAGGGCAAAGACCTTAACTCGAAACTCTCATTCTTCAAGGAATACATGCATGACTTCTGCATTGACCTGGTATTGGTCAGAATCCTGGATTGGGCAAAGACCTTAACTCGAAACTCTCGTTTTTCTAAAAAGAGAGACCCTACACTACCTCTATTGGTACATGAGATAGGCAGGAAAAAGTCATCACAACATTACTTGGCTTGATAGACTTGTTTTTAAGGGCAATGCAATCCTTGGTGAACTTATAATCTTATCTACTTCCTGGCTAGCTTTGAAGGGTCAATCATGAGCCTGTTGCACTAGAGTAATTGTGGGTCATGGGTTCATTGGGTAATTGTGGGTCATGGGTTCATTGGGTTAGTTTGAGGGTAGGTAGTAATTGTGAGTGTTATCTAGGAGTGCCTAATGGAGAAGGAATTCTTTCTTCCAAAGGCATGCTCAATCTTCATATGAGGTCTTTCCTAGATTTTTCTTTCACGGCTTTTAGAGAAAGAAAAGTAGTTTTAATCACTTCAATCATGTATTATAGGTTGTCTAATCAGAAGAGGATTTTTCTGTAAAATCTAAATTTGTTCTAAAGAAAGGACATCTTTGGAAACAACATTTCTGTTTTTGAACCACACATGGAAATTACAAAGGAAAGGATGGCAAAATTGTAATCATCACATGTGTGCCACGTGGGTCACATTGAGCCTATTCCAATGGGTACCACGTGGAGCCCACATATGGAGCTCATGGGTGGCAGGCCCGACTCTTTTTGGGTCTCCTAACCTTTTGGCTTAAGTGATTTTAAGAGATTGAGTTGGAGCCTAGATCTACTCGGATGCAAAAGGTTCTAGGAGATTATGAAACATTTTCTAAAAAGGGTTTGATTAGTTAGGACAAGATCTACTTGGATTTGGATTCTAAGGTTACATGGATTTCTAGGAAGGTGCAATCCAAATTAAATTGGAAGGTTGTTAGGAAAGTTCCTACAAGGATGAAGGTGTAATTCCAACCCTTGGACCATGATTGTTTATCTAGGTTTGATGGTTAAGATTTTATCTCTCTCACCCCTCAGCTTTCTCACTTGCAGTAAGAGGAAAAGAACTTTATCCTACATAGCCTTAAACCATGTATGTAGGAAGGCATCCCCTCTTCCCTTGTTACATATCTTATCTTTCCAGCCCAAAAACTGAGAGGGAGGTGCATGGAGAGAGAGAATCCCAAGGTTAATTTCGGTGAAAATAAAAGAGTAGAAAGAAAGAGAAAGGATATGGTGCAGTTTTTGAGAGAGATGTAACACAAACCTCGTTTTCCTTTGCAATTAAATCTCCAAAACCTTGAGAAAGAGATCTTTGCCTTCAAACCAGGTGTGCCATCAGTCAAGGGAAAAAATAAGGGGAGTAAGAAGCCCTAGGGGTGACCTTAGGCAACAATCCTGTTTGTTGTTTTATTTTGACCACAGAAATCAGTTGTATTCAAGCCGCTTGTTCTTTACATGACAGTTTTCCCTAGTGCAAGGTATCCTACTTCCTTTGTTTTTAAATAGACTTCCTCCCTGTGAGATCTCAGAAAAATCCCATGGTTAGTTTGGGAGATATGGATGTTTTATTGGAAGATGCCCCGTCTGTTTTCTGTTTTCTGCTGGTTTCAACTGTGTACAACCATTGATCATGTGTCTACTTTCATGGCTTGTTCTTGAACATGGCAGTAAAGCTATCCCAGAGTATTGTTTTCTTTTTGCCTTCTTTGTCTTGATTATTTACAAGATAAGAAAAGGGTTGCACATGTAAGGTTTTGTGCATGATAAGGAAAATCCATAAAAGATACTAAAAAAATTTTAAATAGAAACTCTAGCACGCATCAACCACACAATTAACAAATGCAAACATAGTAATCAACAACTATTAATGTCTTCTAATAGATTATACATGGTCATGTTCTTAAAGTATAAAGGAAGAAGCTTCAAGGTCTACAAAAATGTGAGAAATGAAAAGAGTCATCTACATACCTCATATGCGGTGCTTATCTCCTTGAATTTTTCAGTGGCTCCAGGCTGCTTGTTAACATCGGGATGATACTAAATAAATAAATAAAACAGAAAAAGTTATTCATCTACATGTCATTACAAATAATTTAGCATATAATTGTAGGTACTGGAAGAAGTTTCATATGTTGAATTGATAAAAAGGAACTCAAAAGTACAGCTACTCTGACAAGGACTCCAATTGCTGCAGGGATAATCAAAGAAGGCAAATCAGAAAAAAGCTTGCATGCAAACTGTTCTTTCGAAAAGATGTCAGGTGTGACACATAGATATCAACATATATCAGATAAGTTTCTAAGTTGATGGACTGTCCATTACTCATTCCGATAAGCTCAAAATGGCTAATTGTGATGCAGATTCTCTCACTTAAGTTGGGGTTGGAGTGGCAAGGAATGGAGTGGAGGTAAGCTCTCTCATGACAAAGAGCTGTGTTCTCCCCCCTTAAGTACTTGCACCATTTTTGTTTGTAATTTCTGTTCATTTCTTATCTAACCTCTCTATTATTTGGATTATATCCATCTGTTGCATGTTTTAAGAAAGCAACTTGACGTAACCTTCTTAACCATGTATAGTGCAAACAGTGCTTATAAACTGGGAAAAGTCGGGCAAGGTCCAAGCTCAAGTCAGCGGTCCGAGTAGGACAAGCCTAAAGAAGACTTGACCAAGCCTCTCAGAGAATACCATAGAAAACTCGAGAACAGGTGGGACTCGCCAGTTCACCAGGTTTTTTATGGGACCCAGCTACCTGCCAAGTCCAAACAACTCAGGTGAGTTCAAGTCAGACTTGACAAGTTTTTAAACATTGCTAGCAAATAGTGACAAAGTTAAGAGCCCATGCATGGTAACAGAAACTTGGCTAAGTAAGACTATCTCGTGTAAATACTCGCAAAAAAATATTCAATCGAATTTATTTCTGAAGGCAACACTATTGAAAGGATGGATTCTCCACATTCCTAGATCTGGTGATGTCAAGTTGATCATGACAATGGTAGAATCCACCTGCAAAAACTCTCACATTTCCCATACAGTACCCTGCCAACAGCACTTTGGACTAGATATAGAATTGGTTTAAAGAATGGAAGTGGGCAAGTGGGAAAGATAAACTGTCATAATCTTAAGATAAACTGTCATAATCTGACACTACTTCAATCGTATGTTTATGGCCAGGCTAGGGATATCCATGAGACATGTTTTTATGCATCTGAATGTGCATGACCTTGACTGGAAAGCTTTACAGTATATTTGCAGCAAAAGAGACTTGACCACTTTGGGGGGACGATCAAAGGAGATTAAATACATTTAAGTGAAATTTCAGGTGTGCCAAAACTTTCATGATTAAGTTACATCACTAAAGATAACCAAGGGCTAGATCTAAGTGTTTTATATCTTTCTAAGCCTTCAGGGTATTTAGGACTCCCAATTCAACATTTATCAAAGGTGATACGGGTAATGATAAAAAAATTAAAAACCTTGAACCAGCAGAAGGAGAGTGCTTGAAACAAACTTTTGATATTTTTCATCTTATTGTGAAAAAACATTAAATATTTTTGCCGCCTCGTGTCATTTTTGTTTTTTGAGCGTTAAGTGTTAGTAGTGTGTTAGCAATTTTTAAAAATTATTAGTAGTTTCGGAAAGGGTTAGCATTGGTAGGAATGGAAACTGAGACCGGTAGCTGAGTCACAGGTGGTGCTACCACCTTGAGCTCAACCCAATAGAACACAATGAACATATATATATATGAACAAAGATAAGTTGGGTTTAGACCTGGAAGAGTGATAGAGGGCAAAATTATATTTATTTTTAATTTCTATTCAATTTTAAAGGATATATATTTTGATTTTATTTTTAGGATTTTAGTTTTTAAGAATTCTAGGGTTTTTATAGTTTCTTTCATTTATTTAATTGTTGGACTAGTTAGGGACTTTTTAGATATTATAATTGAAGTTAGAGAGTTTAATTTCAAGTTATATTTAAGTTAGGACCTTTTGGTCAAAAGCCAATTGTATGGACAAATATTGTCTAAAAGAATAATTTTTCAATATAAATAAGAGCATGAGCATGAATGGGCCAGAGAGTCATTCACGCATTCCTCTTTAAGAAAAGAAAGATGTTGTCTTGTACAAGAAGCCTAAGACATGAGTCCTAGGTGGGAGAAAGACTTAGGGTTTATCCAAAATTGCTTGTGTTTGGGTTGTTTCTTGCTAATTTTATTGTTCCCTCAAATTCTCCTGCATCAAATAGCATCAAAGCATGGTTCGAGGATGGCTAGAGATTGCAATTGCTGGTCATAGAGGTATTAGCCATACGGATGCTAATCTGATCCAATTGCCCAAGGAAATCAACAACTTGACAGAGAGGGTAACAGAGCTATTGCTGCACAAGCGAGGCTACTAACAGCGTGCCCTAAACGAAGATAAATCTATAGGGACAGATCCAAATCATGAGGGTCTTATGGAGAATGCGCGAATATGAGTCCGACTTAGAATTAGAGAGAAATGATGAAGTTGCCTTCAACCACCCATTCTATGCACGCGCTATGCATTGGGAGCCTCATGTTCGGTAGAATAAATCATGGCATTTAGTTGATCTATATGATTCGAAGGAGAGCGAGGTTGATCTTGGTGTAGGTCATATCGAAAATCAGAAGGTTGTAGATTGGAATCTGCCACTAATTTTTTATAGATACGTAGATGATGAACAAGATCTTGTAACAGATCCAATCTATGATAATGATCAAGATTATGTGGGTGGACCACTATTTGACGAAGAAAAAGATAAAGATCTTAAGGATATCAAAGTGGTGAAACGTTTAGGAAATTTAGGGCATTGGAATCAGAGTAGCACAGTGGAAGTGCGGGTCGACTTAGAATCTGCAAATTATGGCCCTGCATAATTTCAAAAAGCGCTTGGCGGGTCCTAAGCGGCCTGGGCGGTCCAGGCCGACCAGCGCCTTGGCACGGCGCCCATAACTTAGGCGGCCTAGTTGAATCCAAAAAGGATTCTACATATATATTGTATAAAATATAAGAATTAGCTAGTTAGGGCACATCAGAATTCAAAATATAGTACAAATTAGCACACACTCCATAAGCATAACCATAAGTCGGTCTATATCCAATTAAAACTTAAAATTTACCAATTCGAATGTGGGTTATAGCCATATTTCGAACCGGGATCACCAGTCCCATTAGATCCCGAAGAAGGCATCTCAAAATAATACAACTTATACAAGCAATAAAACAAATCACTTACTTGATTGCTCAATCTCCAAACTTCCACCTTATAGAAGCTTCTAAGAAATCAAAATCTTCTAAAAAAAACCCCAATAGATTTATAAAATATCAAAAATTAAATCTAATATCAATGGGTGATGTTTTGATCAATTTTTCATAACTTTGATAAACCCTTCGATTCTAAAGAAATCATCAAAAACTAGTTTTTTGGGGCCTTTCTCTCTCTAAAATGGGCTCTAATGAGTTTTAAGTTTCAAATGAACCTAAAGCCCCCATTTTTTGCCCATTAGTATAAAAAAAATAGACAAAAATAGCCCCCACCGAAAGCTTTCCGCCTCAGGGCAGGGAGCTGTACCTGGGCGACCGCCCAAGTCTGGGCGCTGGGCGGGCCACCCAGGTCTGGGTGCTAGGCGGGCGCCCAGGAACCACTGGGTGCCTAGGCCTGGGAGCCAAGGCCCCTAGATCCGCCTAGGCAGCCGCCCAAGCGCTGGGCAGTCCGCTTTTGAAACACTGTGGCCCTGATTTCAGAAAGTGACCAAATTGATGTTGAGAAAACCTCTAAAGGCCAGAAATTTGAGTTTGGAGTATCTTGCATGATTTCCAATAGGATTTCACGAATAATTAAATTTGAAAAATTTGCACAGATTCCTCTATATGCATATCAGAACCCATTTTTTGAGGAATTTCTTTTACCTCGAATAATATTTGAGCCGACAAAGAAAAAGAAGACTAAAGAAGGTTGTTTTGATGCTGAATTCATCTTAGCACACTTCAAAACTCGATGACGAGTTTTCTCTAACTAGGGGAGATTGATGGACGGCAAAATTATATTTATTTTTAATTTCTATTCAATTTTAGAGGATATATATTTTGATTTTAGTTTTAAGATTCATTTTTAGGATTTTTAGTTTTTAAGAATTCTAGGGTTTTATAGTTTTTTTTATTTATTTCATTGTTGGATCAGTTAGGGACTGTTTAGATATTTTAATTTAAATTAGGGAGTTTCATTTCAAGTTATACGTAAGTTAAGACCTTTTGGTCAAAAGCTAATTGTATGGACAAATATTGTCAATAATAATTTTTCAATATAAATAAAGGCATTGATGGGCCGGAGAGTCATTCATGTATTCCTCTTTAAGAAAATAAAGACTTTGTATTGTAAAAGAAGCCTAAGGCTTAAGTCCTAGGTGGGAGAAAGCCTTATGGTTTCTCCAAAATTGCTCATATTTGGCTTGTTTCTTGCTAATTTTATTGTTCCCTCAAATTCTCCTTCATCAAAGAGACATGCAGAAATGAAACCTACTTTGCGATAGAGCGTAGGCTGTAGAGAAAGTCATCAAATGTTTGAGATGGCCTTTATGGAGAGAGAGAGAGAGAGAGAGAGAGAGCCTTTTCAATTGTCGAGAGAAATGATTTGGCAAGTTAAGAAGACATGCAGAAATGAGGCCTATTTGGAGAGAGCATAGAAAGCCGTCAAGTGTTTGATGTTGCCTTTGTGGTGAGAGAAAGCCTATTCAACTGTTGAGAGAAATGATTTGACATGTTAAGAATCACATCATGGTTCATGAGCAGACCTTGTGATTTGTTTAATGGGGACAACATAAACTAGAGACCATGCAAACTATTTGGAGACCCAACTAAAAAAGTGTAATCATGATAATTCAAGTTAATGTTCATGTTATTCAGCTCAAGAATGTAGATGACCAAAGCTCTTCATGGGATTGCAATGGTTCGAATCGCATCATGGTTCATAAGCAAACCTTGTGATTTGTTTAATGGGGACAACATAAACTAGAGACCATGCAAACTATTTGGAGACCCAACTAAAAATTTGAAATCATGATAATTCAAGTGACCGTTCATGTTATTCAGCTCAAGAATGTAGATGGCCAAATCTCTTCTTGGGATTGCAAGGGTTTCTCTTTCCGAAGCAAAATCCAGATACAATACCATTTGCACATGACAGAATCAAGGAATGCTGCAGAATTATTACATGTTTAAGTTGTGAATGTCACGAAATGGGTAATTTTACTTGAATGTGAAAGCTAAAGTTCAATCCTTAGAGAAGTGCCTCATTTCTACCGCCAAATGGTGAAATTGAAAAGGGACAAGCAACAAAGAGTGGAAAAGGAACATCAAGAGAAAAGCTTGGCAAGCAAGGCTAATTAATAAAAGTTTCAGGATACCTAACATCATTAAAGCAGAGTTTGCATGGGAATTGTTCAAGTAACAAACCCAAATAGCAAGAAGTACAATACAAATGAGAATTCTTCAAGTAACAACAATTATGGCATCTAGTTACAGAACAGTTTCAGATGATGAACAAGGCATACAAACCTAAATAGCACAAAAGTGCAAAAGCGAGAAATGGGGGTCGAATAGGAGGTACCTGGCGTGCTAACCTACGATAAGCGCTCTTAATCTCTTTGCTAGTTGCAGACCTGGCGACTCCAAGAGTCGAATAGTAATCAGCAGTTATGGGGCAATATATCAGAGGGTTCTTGCTTTTGCAAGAGAGAGAAAGAGTTGGGTTTTTGTTCCAAAGGCTCTCACCACCATTGAGAAAGGGAGATGGGATCAATGCTGGTTGTAAGAAGGCATAGTTGAGTTTGACAGGAAAGGCGCAGTTGGGTTTCTCACTGGACGAAGAAGAGGGGGGAAGAGAGAGAGTGGAGAGAGAGAAACCGCCATTGTTAGGAAGAGATATGGGCCGCAAAGGATTGACAGAGAAGCTCAAAAGGAAAAGAAGAAAGAGCGATCATGTCTCTTCAGAGAGAGAGGTGAGAGAAGGGAGGTGAAATGTGTATGTACAAGAGGAAGTTGAAATTTGCGATGAGATGAATTGTGAATCATGGCCGAGCAGTACAGGCACTCTCTGCATCTCTCTCATCGCTCTCTATCTTCTGTGTCTCTCACTTCTCATGTTCCAGGGAATTGTGGATGTCAATTTAGCACGTGCACAGAACAAAGCCGCTCATCGTTTTAGAGTTCTATAGCAACGACCTTTGTAAAAATCAGGGTTTAAAAGAGAGCATCGGTGGCTCGTCACTTCAAAAATCGTGTCGAATGTAGATCGGCAACTCAGATCACATAATCAACCGTATTGGTAGTTTTAACCTAAAAAATTTTAAAAACTTATTACTATTTGTTAAAAATTTAATTTCTTAAGTTTTAAAAAAAAGTTACGGTTTGCATTGTAGATTTTCACACGCTCTAAATGCTGCCAGCCCGCATATTGTAGAATTGCGGGCTTGGCAATAAATATATTTTTTAAAATATAATTTAATCCTACTTTTTAAATTATATATGATCTTTAACGTGGAGATCATGAATATGAAAAAAAAAAAATATATGAGAATTAGAAATAATGACTATATTAAGAAAACATTCAAACCATTAGTTACAATTGTTTTAGATGAACCACCTATTTGCATCCATCTTTAAGATATACGCTTTATAACTCTAAACAGCATATTGTGGAAATATGGTTTGGCCTGTTTCCATATATAACTAGTGAGAAGATGTTTTATGCTTGAGTATTTGTTAACCACTACATCCATTTTATAGTCAAAATGTAGTTTAGAATGCAACTCATTACAATAAAAATGGATCATTGTAATTCAAATTTTTTTATTTTGTATTTTTATAATCTCTATTACAAATTACGATTGCAAAAATATAAGATCTTGCCTCCTCATTTATTATTGTAAATAAAAACAGGAT